GGAAAACGGGCCACCAGTCAGTCTTCCGATGCAAGGGACTGCAGTCACAGCAGGTGCCACTGAAGAGGCACAGACCCCACCGTCTTCACCCTGCCTTGCTGCAGACCTCCAGGAGGTGGAGAGAGAAAGCCCGCCCAGTGTGGCCATAGCTGAGTCGTCGGCGGGCCCGGGTCAAACGGGTCTCCCAGAGCACCCCGAGGGTCAAGGAGAAGATGAGAACAAGCCGAGGTGCCAGGATGGAGAGCAAGGACATGGCCTCCTTGCAGGAAAGCTGGGTGAAGAACCCTCAGATCCAGATGCTAACACTTGTCTGAGCGTCCCAGCAGGAGGAGCAGGTGCACACTTAATGGGCGGCTCTGCAAGCCTCCGTGAGGAAGTGAGCACTGAGACAGGAGCTGCTGTGGCCTTGCCTGCTGGAGCCTCGCACGAGGTCCAGGGTCCTGGTCAGCCCAGTGCAGGGCTGGACAGCCGGGACCCACTGAGGAGGCGACAGACTGCTCCAGGTAAGAGAATGCGCTCTCAGGTACCAGGTGTGTGGTTACTGAGCACATAGCACAAGGCAGGGGGTCTTGGCTGTTATTAAAGATTTATTTATTTTTCCTGGAAATGCAGACTTACATAGAGAAGGGGAGACAGAGGGAATGATTTTCCATCCATGGATTACTCTCTAAGTGGCTACACCAGCCAGTGCAGAGCCGATCCAAAGCCGGGAGGCAGGAGCATATGCGGGCCTCCCACGCAGGTACAGGGTCCCAAGGCTTTGGACTGTCCTTGACTGCTTTTGCAGGCCACCAGCAGGGAGCTGGATGGGAAGTGGAGCAGCCAGGACATGAACTGGCACTCATATGGGATCCCGGCACTTAAGGATTTAGCCATTGAGCCATTGTATTAGGCCTGTTCGTTGCATTTTATTTGAGATGAAGGCATATTTGATATCCCCAAAAGTTGATTTGAACACTCCAATTTGCTTTATTAGATTTAATTGCAAGGTGATAATATTAATTATCTTTTATGGTTAGCCAAAAGAAATAATGTTTAGGAAGAGTGCCTTGTAAAAATGAAAGTAATAGTTAAGCAGGGACTTTGTTAAATTATGAAAATGGGAGGAAGACTTTTTTTCCCTTTTATTTTTGACAATCTACATAGATGATTAGGGCACAAAGGGTCAAGGGCTACAGGAAGATGTGTATTTTTCTTTATATTTTCCACTTTATTTCCACTTTATTATTATTTCTTTATCTGGGATCAAAGGGAGATAAAGAGAGAAGGCTAACCCAGCCTCCAACCCATCGTAGGACTCCGATGTGGGGCATTCTCTGAGGGTCCTGCTCAGGTTGTTTAGGTAATTCAAGTATTATGAATTGCTGCCAGTCTCGCCATTCCAAGCACAATGAAATCTCTCCAGAATCCACTGGCTGACATAGTCCACCTTAGAGTCTCCGTTTGCCCAGATTTTCACTGCCAACACATGGCTGGGGTAGTTGATTGATTTGTTCTGTCCTCCATCCTCTGTTGTGGTACCAGGTGTCCTCTGCAGGTTCCGATGGACTGCCATATCCTCCATGTGCACCTGGGTATGCTGTCCACTGCACTTGCACTCCATGGCAGACCATGGAACCTGCAATTCTCTTCATGGTTGGGGTTCTGAGTCCGGCAGTTCGACTGGGGAGATCCCCAAAGAAACTGTCTGAGGTGATCCCAGACCTGATTCTTGTGTGTGCTTGCCAGTACAGGGTCTGGCACAGTCCATCACCCAGCTGCCCAGCTGGTGGTTGCAATTGCTGGGTCGGTTCTGTTTTCAGCCCTGTCTGCCCCTAGAAGCAGTGGATGTTGCAGTCCAGCCTGATTCTGCCCAGCACACACTCGGCCCTCACATAAACCAGTGGGAGCTACAGCCTAGTTGGAGCAACCCACAACAACCCCACACACGACCACCCCCTACCCTGGTTCCCGTGCTTGCCAGTATGTACAGCCAACTGGTCCCGTGTGTCCCACATCCCACTTGGCACTTGTACCTGTTAATGGGCGTTGAAGCCTAGTTCAACCCAAGCAGCCCCCTGTCCAGCCCATATATATGCTGGTTGGTACCTTTCTTCTCAGCCAGGTCTGCCCCAGTCCTTGTCTCCAGTGGGAGTGATAATCCAAGATGGAGGTGAGAGGACAACTTTTTAAATAGAAATTATGAATGTTTATTCCAGTAGACTGTCAGAAGGATTTGGAAAACGGGCCACCAGTCAGTTTTCCGATGCAGGGGACCGCAGTCACAGCAGGTGCCACTGAAGAGGCACAGACCCCACCGTCTTCACCCTGCCTTGCTGCAGACCTCCAGGAGGTGGAGAGAGAAAGCCCGCCCAGTGTGGCCGCAGCTGAGTCGTCGGCAAGCCCGGGTCAAACGGGTCTCCCAGAGCACCCCGAGGGTCAAGGAGAAGATGAGAACAAGCCGAGGTGCCAGGATGGAGAGCAAGGACATGGCCTCCTTGCAGGAAAGCTGGGTGAAGAACCCTCAGATCCAGATGCTAACACTTGTCTGAGTGTCCCAGCAGGAGGAGCAGGTGCACACTTAATGGGCGGCTCTGCAAGCCTCCGTGAGGAAGTGAGCACTGAGACAGGAGCTGCTGTGGCCTTGCCTGCTGGAGCCTCACACGAGGTCCAGGGTCCTGGTCAGCCCAGTGCAGGGCTGGACAGCCGGGACCCACTGAGGAGGCGACAGACTGCTCCAGGTAAGAGAATGCGCTCTCAGGTACCAGGTGTGTGGTTACTGAGCACATAGCACAAGGCAGGGGGTCTTGGCTGTTATTAAAGATTTATTTATTTTTCCTGGAAATGCAGACTTACATAGAGAAGGGGAGACAGAGGGAATGATTTTCCATCCATGGATTACTCTCTAAGTGGCTACACCAGCCAGTGCAGAGCTGATCCAAAGCCGGGAGGCAGGAGTATATGCAGGCCTCCCACACAGGTGCAGGGTCCCAAGGCTTTGGACTGTCCTTGACTGCTTTTGCAGGGTACAAGCAGGGAGCTGGATGGGAAGTGGAGCAGCCAGGACATAAACTGGCACTCATATGGGATCCCGGCACTTAAGGATTTAGCCATTGAGCCATTGTATTAGGCCTGTTCGTTGCATTTTATTTGAGATGAAGGCATATTTGATATCCCCAAAAGTTGATTTGAACACTCCAATTTGCTTTATTAGATTTAATTACAAGGTGATAATATTAATTATCTTTTATGGTTAGCCAAAAGAAATAATGTTTAGGAAGAGTGCCTTGTAAAAATGAAAGTAATAGTTAAGCAGGGACTTTGTTAAATTATGAAAATGGGAGGAAGACTTTTTTTTCCCCTTTATTTTTGACAATCTACATAGATGATTAGGGCACAAAGGGTCAAGGGCTACAGGAAAATGCCTATTTTTCTTTATATTTTCCACATTATTTCCACTTTATTGTTATTTCTTTATCTGGGATCAAAGGGAGATAAAGAGAGAAGGCTAACCCAGCCTCCAACCCATCGTAGGACTCCGATGTGGGGCATTCTCTGAGGGTCCTGCTCAGGTTGTTTAGGTAATTCAAGTATTATGAATTGCTGCCAGTCTTGCCATTCCAAGCACGATGAAATCTCTCCAGAATCCACTGGCTGACACAGTCCACCTTAGAGTCTCCGTTTGCCCAGATTTTCACTGCCAACACTTGGCTGGGGTAGTTGATTGATTTGTTCTGTCCTCCATCCTCTGTTGTGGTACCAGGTGTCCTCTGCAGGTTCCGATGTACTGCCGTATCCTCCATGTGCACCTGGATATGCTGTCCACTGCACTTGCACTCCATGGCAGACCATGGAACCTGCAATTCTCTTCATGGTTGGGGTTCTGAGTCCGGCAGTTCGACTGGGGAGATCCCCAAAGAAACTGTCTGAGGTGATCCCAGACCTGATTCTTGTGTGTGCTTGCCAGTACAGGGTCTGGCACAGTCCATCACCCAGCTGCCCAGCTGGTGGTTGCAATTGCTGGGTCGGTTCTGTTTTCAGCCCTGTCTGCCCCTAGAACCAGTGGGTGTTGCAGTCCAGCCTGATTCTGCCCAGCACACACTCAGCCCTCACATAAACCAGTGGGAGCTACAGCCTAGTTGGAGCAACCCACAACAACCCCACACAGGACCGCCCCCTACCCTGGTTCCCGTGCTTGCCAGTATGTACAGCCAGCTGGTCCCGTGTGTCCCACATCCCACTTGGCACTTGTACCTGTTAATGGGCGTTGAAGCCTAGTTCAACCCAAGCAGCCCCCTGTCCAGCCCATATATATGCTGGTTGGTACCTTTCTTCTCAGCCAGGTCTGCCCCAGTCCTGGTCTCCAGTGGGAGTGATAACCCAAGAGGGAGGTGAGAGGACGACTTTTTAAATAGAAATTATGAATGTTTATTCCAGTAGACTCTCAGAAGGATTTGGAAAACGGGCCACCAGTCAGTCTTCCGATGCAGGGGACTGCAGTCACAGCAGGTGCCACTGAAGAGGCACAGACCCCACCGTCTTCACCCTGCCTTGCTGCAGACCTCCAGGAGGTGGAGAGAGAAAGCCCACCCAGTGTGGCCGCAGCTGAGTCGTCGGCGGGCCCGGGTCAAACGGGTCTCCTAGAGCACCCCGAGGGTCAAGGAGAAGATGAGAACAAGCCGAGGTGCCAGGATGGAGAGCAAGGACATGGCCTCCTTGCAGGAAAGCTGGGTGAAGAACCCTCAGATCCAGATGCTAACATTTGTCTGAGCGTCCCAGCAGGAGGAGCAGGTGCACACTTAATGGGTGGCTCTGCAAGCCTCCCTGAGGAAGTGAGCACTGAGACAGGAGCTGCTGTGGCCTTGCCTGCTGGAGCCTCGCACGAGGTCCAGGGTCCTGGTCAGCCCAGTGCAGGGCTGGACAGCCGGGACCCACTGAGGAGGCGACAGCCTGTTCCAGGTAAGAGAATGCGCTCTCAGGTACCTGGTGTGTGGTTACTGAGCACATAGCACAAGGCAGGGGGTCTTGGCTGTTATTAAAGATTTATTTATTTTTCCTGGAAATGCAGACTTACATAGAGAAGGGGAGACAGAGGGAATGATTTTCCATCCATGGATTACTCTCTAAGTGGCTACACCAGCCAGTGCAGAGCCGATCCAAAGCCAGGAGGCAGGAGCATATGCAGGCCTCCCACACAGGTGCAGGGTCCCAAGGCTTTGGACTGTCCTTGACTGCTTTTCCAGGGTACAAGCAGGGAGCTGGATGGGAAGTGGAGCAGCCAGGACATAAACTGGCACTCATATGGGATCCCGGCACTTAAGGATTTAGCCATTGAGCCATTGTATTAGGCCTGTTCATTGCATTTTATTTGAGATGAAGGCATATTTGATATCCCCAAAAGTTGATTTGAACACTCCAATTTGCTTTATTAGATTTAATTACAAGGTGATAATATTAATTATCTTTTATGGTTAGCCAAAAGAAATAATGTTTAGGAAGAGTGCCTTGTAAAAATGAAAGTAATAGTTAAGCAGGGACTTTGTTAAATTATGAAAATGGGAGGAAGACTTTTTTTCCCTTTATTTTTGACAATCTTTACATAGATGATTAGGGCACAAAGGGTCAAGGGCTACAGGAAAATGCCTATTTTTCTTTATATTTTCCACATTATTTCCACTTTATTGTTATTTCTTTATCTGGGATAAAAGGGAGATAAAGAGAGAAGGCTAACCCAGCCTCCAACCCATCGTAGGACTCCGATGTGGGGCATTCTCTGAGGGTCCTGCTCAGGTTGTTTAGGTAATTCAAGTATTATGAATTGCTGCCAGTCTCGCCATTCCAAGCACAATGAAATCTCTCCACAATCCACTGGCTGACATAGTCCACCTTAGAGTCTCTGTTTGCCCAGATTTTCACTGCCAACATTGGCTGGGGTAGTTGATTGATTTGTTCTGTCCTCCATCCTCTGTTGTGGTAACAGGTGTCCTCTGCAGGTTCCGATGTACTGCCGTATCCTCCGTGTTCACCTGGGTATGCTGTCCATGGCAGACCATGGAACCTGCAATTCTCTTCATGGTTGGGGTTCTGAGTCCGGCAGTTCGACTGGGGAGATCCCTAAAGAAACTGTCTGAGGTGATCCCAGACCTGATTCTTGTGTGTGCTTGCCAGTACAGGGTCTGGCACAGTCCATCACCCAGCTGCCCAGCTGGTGGTTGCAATTGCTGGGTCGGTTCTGTTTTCAGCCCTGTCTGCCCCTAGAACCAGTGGATGTTGCAGTCCAGCCTGATTCTGCCCAGCACACACTCAGCCCTCACATAAACCAGTGGGAGCTACAGCCTAGTTGGAGCAACCCACAACAACCCCACACAGGACCGCCCCCTACCCTGGTTCCCGTGCTTGCCAGTATGTACAGCCAGCTGGTCCCGTGTGTCCCACATCCCACTTGGCACTTGTACCTGTTAATGGGCGTTGAAGCCTAGTTCAACCCAAGCAGCCCCCTGTCCAGCCCATATATATGCTGGTTGGTACCTTTCTTCTCAGCCAGGTCTGCCCCAGTCCTGGTCTCCAGTGGGAGTGATAACCCAAGAGGGAGGTGAGAGGACGACTTTTTAAATAGAAATTATGAATGTTTATTCCAGTAGACTCTCAGAAGGATTTGGAAAACGGGCCACCAGTCAGTCTTCCGATGCAGGGGACTGCAGTCACAGCAGGTGCCACTGAAGAGGCACAGACCCCACCGTCTTCACCCTGCCTTGCTGCAGACCTCCAGGAGGTGGAGAGAGAAAGCCCACCCAGTGTAGCCGCAGCTGAGTCGTCGGCGGGCCCGGGTCAAACGGGTCTCCTAGAGCACCCCGAGGGTCAAGGAGAAGATGAGAACAAGCCGAGGTGCCAGGATGGAGAGCAAGGACATGGCCTCCTTGCAGGAAAGCTGGGTGAAGAACCCTCAGATCCAGATGCTAACATTTGTCTGAGCGTCCCAGCAGGAGGAGCAGGTGCACACTTAATGGGCGGCTCTGCAAGCCTCCGTGAGGAAGTGAGCGCTGGGACAGGAGCTGCTGTGGCCTTGCCTGCTGGAGCCTCGCATGAGGTCCAGGGTCCTGGTCAGCCCAGTGCAGGGCTGGACAGCCAGGACCCACTGAGGAGGCGACAGCCTGTTCCAGGTAAGAGAATGCGCTCTCAGGTACCAGGTGTGTGGTTACTGAGCACATAGCACAAGGCAGGGGGTCTTGGCTGTTATTAAAGATTTATTTATTTTTCCTGGAAATGCAGACTTACATAGAGAAGGGGAGACAGAGGGAATGATTTTCCATCCATGGATTACTCTAAGTGGCTACACCAGCCAGTGCAGAGCCGATCCAAAGCCAGGAGGCAGGAGTATATGCAGGCCTCCCATGCAGGTGCAGGGTCCCAAGGCTTTGGACTGTCCTTGACTGCTTTTGCAGGGTGCAAGCAGGGAGCTGGATGGGAAGTGGAGCAGCCAGGAATTGGTAACTGTATAGGATCCTGTTGCATGCAGAGCATGGATTTAGCCATTGAGCTATCATTTGGAGCCTTGTGCGAGATTGTTAGAGAACTATAATCTCAAGACGAAGTGCTTTAGGCTTTTCCCTTGATTACAGTCTAAGATGATACAGCTGTCATATCCGGACTGATCCCCGATGTACATTTTGTTCATTCCGCTTTAAAGTAGACTCGCCCTAGTGGCAGCGGAGGCTCTGGCCTTAGCATTCATTGCATGTATCTGGTAGTAAGTGCATGTAGGAGCGATTTTCAGAAGATTGATTTATTTGTTTGAGATGCAGATTTAGAGCTTCTGTCTGCTGGTTCTCTTCCTCAATCGGTACAGCATTCAGGGCTGAACCAGGCTGGAGCCAGGACCATGGAGCATCTTATAGGTCCCACGCATGTGCCAGAGGCCTGAACATCTGGGCCCTCTTGTGCTGCCTTTCCCAGGCCTGCAGCTGCTGCCTCTGCGGTGCTGCTGCCACAGGCACTGACCTTACGCAGCGGGCCGCAATGATGGGCCTCGCTGATACCTTCTTCATAGTGAATAAATGTGATCGTATATCTGCTGTCAGAATTTCATCAGTATTTAGACTCACTGTTGGTAGTAAAGAAAATCCTGTGTTAAAAGTGCAGTGTCTGGGAAAGAACTTAAAATACAGCAGAGGCAGATACTGTGTAGTACTGCTTTTCATGAAAGAAAGCTTGAAACAGTATAAGAATCATCTTGGCCGAGCAGAATGGGGGTGGGGGGAGAAGAAAGGGGGCGCCCCGTCTGCCTTTGTGTGCTGTCTGCAGCTCTCGTTCCTTTCCACCCAGGGACCGGAAGTCATGAACAAGAAACACAATTAGAGGAAGTCAAAAAGCAGGGCAAAAAGCAGGATAGAAGGAAGATGAAGAAAGATTTCCGGAACTACGGTGAGAACACAGTGGCTTCTCCATAGAGCTGATTCAGAAGTCCTGTGTGAGCATGCCTCGAAAGTTAGCAGGTGGAACAGCTTTAACATTGTAGTAATATACGTTTAATACGTATAACACATTCTGTCTAATGTTAGTGTTTGCAAGTAAGTTGTAGGATAGAGCAGTAAAGATCAGGGATTTTTCATTTGGGCTGTTTGCTAATATTTGGCAGTGCTTACAAATAAAATGGGAATTCTCACAGTAGGATGGCCTTACAAGAACCTGAAACTGTCATTTTAGTTAAGATATTATGGTTTTAACTGGCAGTTTTAAGTTTTGATTCCTATTGGTCTGCTCTAGGCAGAAAGAAGACAATCTGGAGAGCTCATGTCTGTGTCACATCATAAATTAGAATGTGAAACACAGGAGAATTAAAAAAGAACCCATGGAAAAGTGAAACTAGAAGATGTTTCGTTTGCTGTAAGAAAAAAAAAAGCTTTAAAAATGTATGCATAGATTTTCCTTTCATAATATGCATTTTCCACCAACAATTAACACAATGAAGGCCCCTTATGTTAAATCTGAGAATGTGAAATTAGAATTTCTGGTCACCTTTGATAGCAGAAAGCTTAGATGGCTTTAGGCAAAGGGGAACTTAGCACTGGGAGGAAAACCTGTCGAGGCTTGCTATCTGCACCTGCCCTCTGACACGATTCCTTGTGTCCTCCTCCTCCGCCAGGGCGCATCCTTCTCAGCTTCCTGGTTGGGGTCCTGGTGCTGAGAGTCCAGAGCTACTACTCCTCTCCAGCGCAGCAGGTGCCCCGGAACCCAGCCTTGGAGGCCTTCTTGACTCAGTTCAGCCAGCTAAAAGAGAAATTTCCGGGCCAGAGTCCCTTCGTGTGGCAGAGAGGGCGAAAGTTTCTTCAGAAGCATCTCAACTCCTCAGACCCCAGCGAGCCGGCCACCATCATCTTCACGGCGGCCCGGGACGGGAGGGAGACCCTCCGGTGCCTGAGCTACCACGTGGCCGACGCCTACACGTCTTCCCACAAGGGCTCGGCCATTCAGCTCGACGGGGCCCAGAGGAGCTCTCAGGACAGTGACACCGTCAAGCTCTGGGTTGACCTGGAGCTGAGCTCGGGATTCGAGAACGGCCAGAAGGCTGCCGTGATCCACCATTTTGAATCCCTGCCCGCGGGCTCCGCCTTGATTTTCTACAAATATTGTGACCACAAGAATGCGGCCTTTAAAGACGTGGCCCTGGTCCTGACCGTGCTGCTAGAGGAAGAGACATTAGAAGCAAGCGTGAGCCCCAGAGAAACAGAAGAAAAAGTGAGAGATCTGCTCTGGGCCAAGTTCACCAATGCAGACACCCCCAGCTCCTTCAGCCACATGGACTCGGACAAGCTGAGCGGGCTCTGGAGCCGCATCTCACACCTTGTGCTGCCAGTTCAGCCCGTGAGGGGCATCGAAGAGCAGGGCTGCCTGGTGTGAGGGCGCGGGAGGCCGGGCTGCCTGGTGTGAGGGCAGCGCAGGGCATTGTCAGGAAGGGGCTAGATTAGCACAGCTTATGGTTGGAAAAAAAGGGCTCCTCTCTCACTTTCTTGGCGAGGTTCTTTGTGATCGAAGCTTCCACAATGCTGACTACCGCCCTTCTCCCTCCCCGCATCTTGCCTTTGACAAAGCCAATCGAGATACAGCGGGGTCTACAGAACTAAGGAATTGTCTTTAATCCCAAAGTAACAGAATCATTGCATAGGAAGAGTCTTTTCAGGACCACCGAGTGACTTTGTCTTGAGTGATGTTCTAACTAGCCGTTTTGGGTAGTGCTTGGACTCAGAGGAAAGTAATTAGGGTGTGAGGCAGTGATTTTAAAAAAAAGTTTACATCACGTTAAGTATTTGAAGACTCACTTTAATAATAACCTTCGCGTGGGATTTACTTCTTACACTAATTTGCACTTTGGAGTATAGTCTGAGAAAATGAAAGAACAATTCAAACCCTCAACTGTGTAGCTGCGTACTACCTGTAAAGCACCACGCTTCTATTCCGTTAATGAGCTGAAGCGACGGCAGCCACGCTCAAACTGCCCTTCAAGCCTGAAATCAAGACCGCGTGTAGGGACAGGGAGTGGGGAAAGCCATGAGCTGCATCCTAACTGCTGCTGCCTTGAATTCTCCCGAGCAGCGCGTCTCCCCGCCGCGCCAGGGCCCATCCCCTTGGCAGCGGGCAGGAGAGCTGGGTGGGGGAAAAAAATGAATGTTTTAAAACAAGCAGGAAGAAGTAGGACTTATGGTCGGGATGCACTATTTATGAAAGAGGAGGACTTTTAAGTGAACGGCAGAATGTGTAAGCTAGCATTTCCCGGCGTGTTTCTGATGCTCTTGTCTACTTCTGATCATCATCCTTTCTGTCGCCCTGAGCGGAATTTTATACCTGTGATGAGCATCGGCCGGCCTCTCTGGGGGACATGTGCTTCATTTGAATGTAGCTCATTTCTTGGCCAAGCAGTTAGAAGTACCAGTAGGTTCATAGAGAAGTGCAAGTGATACTAGAACTAGAAAAAGTAGAAATGACAGATTTCGAGACGTTGGCAGTGCTGGTATTGATTGTTCGTGGCCACATTTTGTGGTTTCAGGAGACAGTCGTTGTGGATGAGTTCTGAAAGCAGAACTTGTGTGGAAGGAGCTTGAGAGCAGCAGATCTGTCTGACTGTTCCGTTACATGGACCGCTACCAGGATCCTGTGATGGTTCAGCTGCATCTTGGTCTCTCCCCTATGAGAGCACGCACAGGCACGCATGTTCTTTTAAAGAGGTGATGATCAAAATGTAGGAGAATTTCAGGAAACACTAAGAAATAGGATCTTTATGCATATCCAAAACATTGACAGAGGTATGGGAAAGAATTCTTGTTGAAAATATCCAGCACAGGAAAAGTATGTAAATCTGCTTTAACCAAAGCCTGAAGTTGTGCTTAATTCCGTGGGGAGAGGGGTGGGGTACTAGAGAAATAATCTACATTGGGAACTTCCTCAGAATCTTGGGTTGGGTTTGAGAGAAGAGCTGAATACGAATACACCGAATGGTGTCGATGCAGTGTAAAGTGAGAGGAAATTGAAGAAACTCTGAGTCCAGTCCATTTGAATGCTTCTCTGGAGTTCTCCTCCTTCCGTGCCAGCGTCACCTCACCTGGTGCCAGCGGTGCCTTGCAGAACTGTTGTGTTGGCCTGTGGACCAGCGCTGCCTCACATGTGTGAAGGAACCCATGTGAGAATTCACAGACACCTGCCAGGGAGTCCCAGGACAGTGCAAAGAATGTTTCTTCATACATCGTTTGTTCCCGATATAACTGAAAAACCTCCTAAATGTCACAGCTCTCTTGTTTCTTTCCTTCTTTTTTTTTACTCTTCAGTCTTTCTCAGAAACCCTTGCCCTTCCCTGTGTAAGTGCAATCAGCTAAGAGTGTTGTCAATTTTCTGTCCACCATTTCAAGAGGCCTTTCAAAAGCAGTGAATTAGCCAAGTCTTCTCATGAATAAGATGATTATTTTTAAAGCATACAACTATTTTTTAAAATGACGAATGTTTAAAATCTGTTACCTAATGTACTCTTGGGTTCATTTCTATTTAAAGGTTTTAAGTTTTAAAAATTACCCTTTGGGCGTGTAGTTCATCTTTCATCATTGCAGTGGGTGCTTTGTTTTTCTGACTTAGACAAATGTGAGGATATGATAACCATACCTGATTCCTAAATTCGTTAGATTACAACTACACAATGACCTGTATTTTCTTTTATATCAATATCAATCATTTCTTGAGTAGTAACAAAGTTGTGGAAACAAACAGAATCAGAAAGTGTCTTCAGGCTAGAGTTTTCTTTTTCCTTGGGGGGGGGGGTGGGATTTAGGTTTCCCAGGCGGCTTTCAGGATGTAGCAGAGAAGTGCCAGGGAGTTCATCTCTCTGATGGTGTTTAGTGCTGCTATCCACTTCTCTAATTTTGGAACCAGTAGGTGGTGACACATGGCATGCTTGGTGGCCCCAGACTGGTGCTGGTCGGCAGAGGCGCACAGCGCTCACCCACTGTCCTGTCCACTGCTGCGCAGCACAGCAGTGGTGGCTTGGACAGTCCTGGGTTGCTTCCTGTGGCTTTGTTAGAGAGCGGAAACATGAGTTCTGATGGCAGCCTGTAGCAGACGCGGCCTGTGAGATGATGGTAGTTCACCAGCCCGCCTATGCAGCCATCTGACCAAATTTTTTTTAACTTAACTGAATCTTTCTCTTTTGTACTTAACCAAGAAAATGGGCTTTCCCAGAATCCGTGCCCGACTGACACCCTGGTATTTTTTCTTATGTAACCATGATTGCTTTTGTTTCTTACGGCTGTTGGAAAATGTGCCTTATTCACATTACTTGTCTGGTGATTATCAAAAATAAATCTTAACGTTTCTCAATTG